TCCTAGGTGGTGTTAAACATAAGAGTGAGATTTCAAAGAAATCCCAGTAGTAAAGAATCACAATTATCATGCATTCATGCAAACACTACATGCAATGCTTTTGTGCATTTATCTTGCTTATGTGTTCATGCTTTTATGCCATGGAAAGTAAGCTATCATACACATATTCAGAGGACATAATGCCAAGGCAACATAATTCAAACATTGTAGTCAACATTTGCAACAAAGCTTAGTCACATCATGGCACACTTTGCACACATACACATTAACACAATAATGTAAGCAAGAAAGCAGTCAAAATATAATTCAATGCTACCTTTTGACACTTGGTTCTTGATTTCCTTTAAGTTCAAGATATTCTCTTAAGTTTGGCAAGGTACCTATCAAACCAACACCAATGCCAATCATTCAACAATTATTCAAACACATTACACATTACTTAAACATTAAACCCCCTTTCTTTGGATTTTTGGCCTAATTGTTTTCCCTTTGATTCAAGAAACCTCCTTGGCCATTCCTACATGATTTTTCATGTAGAATTCAAATATCAAATCAGATTTTACAAAATCTAATCTCTTCCTTAAGTTCTAGTCAAAACAGAAACGAATTGTACAAGGGAAGATGTCAAAATTTCCAACTTTGATTTTTAATGCTTCCAACTTCAATTCCTCTACATATCCTTACACAAAAACACCCAAGGAATTCAATGGAAGCATCAAAACCATCAAAATCCAATCCTAAGTCCATGAATTCAAAATGGCTGAACACCTCCCCTTAGGTTCCTAAATTTCCACATTTGATTCCAATGAATTAAAACATACTTTCATGGCACAAACCTACCCAAAATCACATTTCAAATCCATTAGAACCATTAAAACACATATAATCAAATCCCATCCTTGAGTTATTGGTTTGGCCAAAACAATGTTCTTGCACCCTAAGAGGTTTCCTTTCCATAATCCATTCCAAAACAGCACCAAACACAACAACACAAGCTCATAACTCAAATTACTATCCTCTCTTAGAACTTCCTGCAAAACAGAAATGGAACAGCACTTCTCCCTCAATTTTAGTCATGATTAAGCCATTGAAAATGCATCAAATTAAAGCCTAAACATACCTTAAGGAGTCTTGGATTAAAGCTTGATGATTAGCCTTGGATTGGAAGTGGTTTGAAGGGTATTTGGAAGCCAAGAAAATAGTTGTGTAGAACCTCCCCTCTTTTGTCAATTTTTGTCCGAATTTTGAGTGAATTATGGGGGTATTTATAGACCTCATTTGCTGCCCAAAAACTTTCCCTTGCGCAGCTATTTTTGCCCAAAGATTAAGTGCATAAGTTGGTCAAAATGAGGGGGCAATCCTAGCCACACATGCTTTGACTTAATTTCAAGAGAGTTAATCCAATGGTTGAGATTTTTCCACCAATTGCTCCAGATGTTTCTTGAGCTGGGGAGTATGGTTTTTGGGCTTAGTTATAAGGGAACTAAATGGGAAAAATTGGTTAGGAAGTAATGGAATTGGTTAGGATAATTCAAAAATTCATTTGGTCACATAATACCCAATTTCTTGCTCCCTGTTAGGAAAAATAGCTAAGCGCTTCAAAAATTCCATTTATTTTCATGATAAATACCTATTTATTCCAAAAGTATAATCTGAAAGTTTTGGAAATTTTTCAAGACCTCTAGGTATTTATTTCACATTTTCTCCGAAATCAGGTCTTTGCCGATAGGAATTTGGAAGTAAATTCCCCATAAATTATTTTCTATGTTTATAATGCTTGAAAACAATTTTATAAATTCATATATATTCCTAGGGAGTGTATCTATATTTTTACTTGAATTTTTTGGGCCCTTAGGTAATTAAAATAATTATACCCCTCAAATTACCCTGTATTTTTCCCTATTTTCCCAAAAATAATTATTTTTTGGGAATTTTCACCAAAATTTATTTTGGGCTATTTTCACTCCCAAAACATCATATGTGACTCAAAAACACCTAATTCCACCTTTTTCTTTTTTTGGAAAATTTTTAAGAACTTTTCTCAAAATTACTGTTTTGCCCCTAGGGACCCGATAAAGTCAGTTTCATCCCATTTTAGGTTTTCATGTTTTATTCATACCTTATGCTTATCAATCATGTCTCATTCCTTATATTCCCATTACTAGGGTTTCAAATTTTGGGATATTACAAGGATAGTCCAATTGGATATTTTTTCCTTAAAGAGCATTGAAAGAGCTTTCCGTAGAATTTTGGAACACCCCCATACAATTTTTGTAGAATTAGTTATGATTTTTCAAAGTTGGAACTGAAATCTAAAAAATGTGTAGTGAATAGTAAATTTGAAAAGTAACATCCTAATAGAGATTTTTGAGCTCAAGAGTGTAACAACGAAACTACTACACTTATAAAGTAATCAATATCAAAAAGTTAACCATGATAGAAAAAAACTTTGTAAAAATATTTAGAAATACTATCATGGTTATATAAATATCCTAAATCATATGAGATTAACCATGATAGAAAAAGAGTTAAACCAATCCATAAATATGTCTATCATGGTTAAAAGAACTTTCCTAAATTAACTGCGTGCAAAAAGATATTCATAATGGATAGGGCTTTGGGTATTATAAATCTAGAATATCATTTTCAACCATAAGCCCATAACACGATTTTACTAAATAGTACCTTTCATAACTTTCAACAAAATCAAAAGTCATTTCATGTCAAAGATCACTGTGGATTCACCACTCATATCAAACAAAAGAAATCACATGCAAATGCCTAAAGGCCTCCGGCCTTCTACCAGCATACAGTCCAGTAACAGTTCTCAAAAGTACACTGTCAAAATAATCAATCTCAAACATATCAGAGTATGTGGAATGGGCCCTATCATGGCAATATACATCTATCCAACACAATCAAAAGAGTGGAAGCGCTACAATTTTGCAATAGCAGCTCAAGCTTCCGGAGCCTTCCCTGACTGACCCGAACGGGAACTATCACCTGGAAAAGTGTTAAATCAACGGGGTGAGACAAAAGTCTCAGTAACCAGCAATCCTACTTATCAAGCATACAAGTAAGTGCTCGTGACGTGTCAAGTGAGACAAAAGCAAATTCATAGTATTCCAACAAATTTCATATTGTCAAAGCATATAAAAAGTATAATCAATAATCTTTTCACCTCCCTTATATCCACCCACCTTATATCCTCTGACTAAACCCATGGGCTAAATCCTCATCCATGTGACTGGTAATTAGACAAGCTCACCGATCAAGTGATATGGACCGGCCAAAATCCACAGAGCACCAGACCGGACCATGGGTTCCCCCTCTAGTCTACTAGTAGGGTGTCAATGCCCTATAATGAATAATTGGGCCAAAGGACCAATCAGTGTACACCTGATGACCCTACCACCTTATATCCTCAAATGTACATAATTCACCCCCTTATATCCTCTTTGTTATAGTACCCATCATCAACATCCGCCACCCCTCATATATCAACACTCAAAATATTGCATTCATAAACAATCATCAACATGTAAAAATCAATTGGGATTTTCCATTTTTCAATTGACTCATAATACCTAAGATCATCATAATAGTAAACATATATCTTTTGCAACAAAAGTCTCACAAGACAATTTCAATAACAACATACTTTCATAGCTCACATCGTAATTCAATAATATTTCATAAATTCCTTATAATTCAAAATCAATCACAAACAACCTACGAGCATGAATAATAAGTGGAAAGTGGTTACCTCTTGTCTAGAACAAGTATTACCACAAGGTTAACCCCGTGCTCATACCAATAGCCCAATAATTTAATCTACACAACCAATACATTTACATATCAATACACAAGCTATTTAATTAATTACTTAAACTAAAACATATATATATAAGTTAAAGTTTCTAATTCTATGCTAAACCCAAACCTCTCATAACCCATAATTAAGTCTTTTAGCACAAAATTTATATATCCTCACAATCCAAAATTTTCATTTAAACATTTCAAGGTATTTACTTTAATACAGATTTTTCTCAAATTTTTAAATCTGAAATTATCATATTTAAAATTCAAAAATCCTATTTTAACTTTAAATCTCAAAAACCAACCATTAGAAATTCACTATACATCAAATGCATCTAAGTAAATAATTTAATCAACAGTTTCATGGTATAAATATCATATTTTTCATAAATAAATATCTGTTTAACTAAAATAATTCATTTAAAAATATTAGGTCAGTCAATAAATAAAACTAAACTGATAGAAATGATCTACTAAAATAGCTCTACAATATTATGCTTACCTATCATCAAAACTCAACACTTGCTTCAAACCCTAAACCCAAAAATTATCTCTAAACAGTATAAAACTACCATCATTAGATAGATTTAGATGAGTGGAAAAACTTTCATGAAGAGAGTTTAATGAAAAGAAGTCATTTGGCTTACCAAAATGATCTGCAAAGTTGAAACCCTACTGGAAAAATGAGAGGAGGCGCCGGAGAAGGTGAAAAAGAAAAACGTCGAAATGTTTCTCTCTCTGGCCCCCAACGGTTAAAATAATATTTTGGCAAAAATTCCAGTTAAAGACCCCATATTAAAATGGGACAAAATTATAGTTTGGTACCCCGTTTTTTTCCCATTTTTTTTAATCCGTTTTATTATTATTATTATTCAGAAATTTCCTTATACATATTTTATAAATCTTATTTTCAATAATTCTCTTTTCTTAAATAAATAGAGAATAAAACTCATTTATCAAGCATTAAACTCCTTCTAAACTTAACTAAACACTAGGAATAATAATAAATAAAAAAAATTGGGATGTTACAACTCTCCCCACCTAAAAGGAATTTTGTCCCCAAAATTCAAACAAACACACACAACAACCAAGAAAAACACCTACCAAGAAAACAAGTACGGGTACTCGCACTGCATTCGCTCCTCGGTTTCCCAAGTAGCATCACCGGGACTCATTCCTTTCTAAAAGACTTTTACGAGCCGAATAGTCTTATTCCGTAATTGCTTGTCCTTCACATCCAAAATCCGCTCTGGTTCTGCCTTATAAGTCAAGTTCTCACGTAACTCAACTTCTTCAGGCTCGATTATGTGAGATGGATCTGGATGATACTTCTTCAATTGTGACACATGAAACACATCGTGAATGTTGGACAAATGTGGCGGCAAGGCAACACGGTAGGCAACAGGTCCAATTCTCTCCAAGATCTCATATGGGCCTATGAACCTGGGTGTCAACTTTTTGGCTTTGATAGATCTTCCAATACCCGTGAGTGGAGAAACTTTCAAAAACACATGATCACCTACATCGAATTCCAAAGGTCTCCGACGACGATCTGCATAACTCTTCTGACGGCTTTGAGCTGTCAATAACCTTTGTTTAATCAGATCAATCTTTCTGGTAGTGATGTCTACTAAGTCAGGACCAATGATAGTTAGCCTAAGTTAGATACACTTAGTGTAGTTTTGATATAAGGTTACGGTAGCACGATCAAGGTAGCTATCTTCGATTCCTAAAACAATATAAAAAGCTAGAAAGAGTTAAAGATAGCTTTCCACCTACCAGTGGTCCCTAAGGATAGAAGAAACCAAAAGTACTAATGGCCTAGAGACATGAGCCAAACTCTTCCTCAATTGGCTGAAAGCAAGTAGTTGACTTGTTTGGGGATGACAGTAAGATTAGGGACATGGAAGTCCTTTAAGTAGCAGACAATGTTGCGATGAGCGAAGCTAAGTAAGACTAGTAGAGGTTAAGAGAAAGTATACTTCATCACGATGAACCAAGGGCATTGGTGGCGATAAACGAATATAGAAGTGATTACCAGAGAAAGTGGTGACTTTTAAGAAGAATTATGGTCATGAACAATAACTCTCAGATGCTAAGATGGTATCTCGGCAAGACTTGATGGATTATGAGGTCATTGAGAGTAAGACTAATAGAGATCAAAGAGAGTGGTATCCACTATTTAAGAGCTATTAGATTCCCTCTCAAGAGGAAGAATAATGATAAGGAGTTGAACAAGATAGTTAGGGGTTGAGTCTATACACCGCTAAGAGGGTGTAATAGCCACCTAAGCTGGACAAACTCGTACAGCCTTGTTAAGGCTGGGGCACCATGATAGAATAGCTATCTTGAGTCCCTGAATAGATAAATAGGAACCTAGAGATAGTAAACTCAAAATAGATAGCTCTAGTCAAATTCTTTGGAATCAAGAAGAAGAGAAAGAGATGAGAATAATACAGATATCTATGCGGGGAATTAGCATTATGAGGTTGGCATGTTCCCGATAATGTTAAGAGATATTCAGTCACTTAGGGTTAGGTTGAGAGGTACCCTTCACAGGGGATATGGTCTTGGCTATGAGTCTTCCTAGAGAAAGTACGGAACTAGTACTCTGAGACAGAATTGGCACCACTCTAGATGGAGCCAAATACCCTATCCGAGCAGGAAAAGGGATTAGCCGAGGCAAGGCAAGCGAAGTTGACTTTACCCCAATGAAAGCATGACTAGCCAAGAACAGAGTTAGGCTTGAATGTCCCTGAGCTTAACAGAGAAGGGCAAGTAGAAAGAAGAGAACCTCATAAGTCCTCTCCCTATGACTTCCAGAATCAGTTGTGAACAGGATGAGAGGCTCCTTTTTTACGGATGAGATGTCTGGTCGGCAGGCTACAAACGTAGCAACCAGTAAGAGCTTGCACTCTTTGATTGGAATGCCAAGCATTATACATGTTAGAGTATGCTCATACTAAAAAGTGAAGTAAAAGAAAGAGAAGTTACATGAGTTAGGAGCTGCTTCGGTGCACAATAGGAGAATGGACACTTTGGAATCAAAAGTAGATTTGTTGGAAAGCAAAGTGGCCTCTCAACTGTCTCTAATCACTGCTGAATTGAAGAACATGAGTGTGCATCGCCCACCCACTCCAATGGACATTACAACGACCAGTTGTGAAACATGTGGCTCGGTTATGCATATTTCTAGCGTTTGTCCAGACCGTTATGAGGAGGTATCTGCAGTCTACCAAGGCCGTCCAAATCAAAAGTGGGACCCTTACTCCAACAGTTATAACGAGGGATGGAAGGCAAACCCTCGATTGGGCTGGAGGAACGATGATAGTAGACCTCCAACCAGATTTCAGAAGAGTGGAGGAGCTGGCCCATCTTCAACCCAGTTCCAAAACCAATCTCAAGCCCTAACTGTCCCACCAAAGGATGATACCAACCAACTCCTACACAATATGACGGCCTTAATGAAGGAAGAAAGGGCTGCTAACGCTACTCAGTTCAACTCCTTAGCCTCACTAATTCAACAAGACTCATCCAAGAATGATACTAGATTTAGTGCTTTGGAAAAGAGGATGGAACAGTGGGAAACTAAGTCTAAGAACATCAACTCCTATGTAACTCAATTGTCCAACAACATGAGTGAACAACAAGCAAGGAACAGTGGTGCTATTCCCTCCAACATTGTTATCAATCCTAAGGGCTTAAATGCCATTACCCTTAGGAGTGGGAAGCAAGTGAATTTTAGAAAAGAGGAGGATGAAGTTATAGATGAGGAAATCTTGTGTGATGAGCTGCCACAAGCATCTTCAAAGGTTAAGAATTCTGAAAGCTTCAAGGAGATGAGGCTAAAGTTGAAAGAAGCCCCAAAAGAACATGATGGCAAGGGTAAAGCTGTGGAATCTGAGCCAAGTAATCATGGAGCCTCAAGCAAGGAAGGTAAGGAGGTAAACATCAATGAACTACCTTTCCCTCATGCTTATTTGAAAAATGTTAAAATGGGTAAGGAGAGGCAAGATCATGAGTTGCTTGAGACATTTAGGAAAGTAGAAGTGAATATACCCTTGCTTGACCTGATTAAAAAGATTCCTAAGTATGCTAAAGTCTTAAAAGAATTATGTACTCAAAAGAGGAGATTTAAACCTAATGAAAGAGTCCAATTACCCTCTAATGTGTCTGCATTATTTAAACCCCAAATTCCTGTAAAGTGTCAAGACCCTGGATCTTTCACTATCCCTTGCACTATAGGAAAGGCTATTATAGGGGGAGCCCTGTTAGATCTAAGTGCAGCCATTAATGTCATGCCTAAGTCCGTATACACCTCTCTAGGAGTCATGACTCTTAAGTCTACTACTGTTGTACTCCAACTAGCTGATAGGACTATTAGGTATCCTGAGGGCATTATTGAAGACATTTTAGTCCAAGTTAAGGGATTGGTGTTTCCTGCTAATTTTTATGTGCTTGACATGTCTTCTGAACTTGTAAATGACACTACACTCATCCTTGGTCGACCTTTCTTAAGGACTTCTAATACCATGATTAGCATGAAAGAGGGCACCATAACTCCGGAGGTGGGTGATAATAAAGTTTCTTTTAACATGTATGAAGCAATGAAACATCCTTATGAGGACTATTCACTTTTGGGGGTTAACATGATAGACATTGCTGTTGAGGATGCTTGCTCTGAAGTTGAATTGCAAAATGACTCTTTCTATTATGAACTTTACACTGATGATTCTATTGATGAGAATGAATCCATTTCTTCCTTTTCATCTCTTTACTCTACACCTTCTACTTGTTCATATGGTGGTGATGTTACATGCCTTGATTGTACTGTGGTTAATTGCATGCTTTCTATCCCACATACATTTTCTGTTTCCTACCTTGACTCCAAGTTAGACTGTGATTCCTCTATTATCAGTGATGATTCCCTTGGGGAAAGGTTTCCTGTTGTTGTTTCAGATATGGGGGAAGATGTCATGGAGAAGAATCCCTCTAAGGCGGTTGCTGTAGATCAACTAGAAGTTGGTTCAACGCTTGAGAGGAAGTTAACTACAAGGCTGAGGAACTATCATTGGTTGAAGGAAAGGGGAGTAATTTGTTCTCTCTTGAACTTCATAAATTGATTCCTTCTATTGTGCAACCACCTACACTTGATTTGAAACCCTTACTACCTACTTTAAAATATGTTTTCCTTGAGTCTAATGAACAATTGCCTGTTATTATAGCTGACTCACTGTCTGAGAGTGAGGAAGAGAGACTCTTGTCTGTTTTGAAGGAGCATAGAAAGGCAATAGGTTGGACACTAGCAGACATACCAGGAATTAGTCCTACTGTGTGCACACATAGAATTTTACTGAGTGAGGAATCAAAACCAGTGAGACAACCCCAAAGACGATTGAACCCTCTCATATTAGATATAGTTAAGAAAGAAATTACTAAATTGTTGAGTACTGGGATAATATATCTAATTTCTGATAGTGAGTGGGTCAGTCCAGTGCATGTTGTGCCAAAGAAGAGTGGGGTAACAGTAGTAAGGAATGAAAGGGATAAGTTAATTTCTACAAGGGTTCAAAACTCATGGCGTGTGTGCATAGACTATAGGAGACCTAATGATGCAACATATAAGGATCACTTTCCTATACCCTTCATTGACTAAATGTTGGAGAGACTAGCTGGTAAATCACATTACTGCGTTTTAGATGGCTTTTTCGGCTATTTTTAGGTACCCATAGCCCCCGAGGATCAGGACAAAACTACCTTCACATGCCCCTTTGGTACCTTCGCTTATCGAAGGATGCCATTTGGGTAATATAACGCTCCAGGCACCTTTCAAAGGTGCATGATGGCGATTTTCAGTGACCTTTTAGAGCACAATATGAGGTTTTCATAGATGATTTTATAGTTTATGGGGAGAGCTTTGATTAGTGCCTGAATAGCCTAAGGCAGCCTCTAGAGAGATGCATAGCCGAAAATCTTATTTTGAGCTTTGAGAAATGTCATTTCATGGTGGGTAGTGGCATAGTGTTAGGTCACCTCATCTCTAGCAAGGGGATTGAGGTTGATAAGGCTAAAATTGAACTTATCTCATCTTTGCCTTACCCCACCTGTCTTAAAGATTTAAGATCTTTTCTTAGGCATGCAAGGTTTTATAGGCGCTTTATTAAAGATTTTAGTAAAGTTGCTTTACCCCTTTTTACTCTTCTTAAAAAAGATGTTGAATTTAATTTTGATGAAAAATGTAGACATGCCTTTGATACTCTCAAGTCTATGCTTGTTTCATCTCCTATTTTGACTGCACCCAATTGGAATTTACATTTTGAACTCTCATGTGATGCTTCTAATTGTGTAGTGGGTGCTATGCTTGGCTAGAAGGAGGAGAAGCAATCTAGAGTCATAGCCTATGCCTCTAAGACACTCGACCCAACTCAAGTCAACTATACCACCACTGAGAAAGAAATGTTTGCCATTGTATTTGCTTTAGATAAGTTTAGATAGTATCTAATCAATTCTCGAGTGGTTGTGTATACAGATCATGCAGCTGTCCGCTATCTACTTAAAAAGCCACAATCTAAACCAAGATTGATCAGATGGGCTTTACTGCTTCAAGAGTTTGACATTAAGATTAAGGATAGACCAGGGGTAGTGAATCAAGTAGCCGATCACCTGAGTAGGCTACTGGAGTACACAAGGGGAGTAGATTCTTCTGACTTGACTTGTGACTCTTTTACCGATTTAGCTTTATGTTCTGTGGCTACTATAGAGCCTTGGTATGCTAATATTGTCAATTATCTCATGTCTGGACTCACTTCTCCCTTTATGTCTAGATTTTAGGCACAAAAGCTTCGTAGCGAGTTAAAGTATTACATTTGGGATGCCCCTCATTTGTGGAGGATGTACAGTGACCAAGTGATACGGAAGTGTGTGCCGGAGGAGGATTTTGAACCTATTATTTCAGCTTGCCATTCCATGGTTTGTGGCGGTCATTTTAGTGCAAGGAGGACATCTAGGAAGGTCTTAGATTCTGGATTTTATTGGCCCACCCTCTTCAAAGATTCTTTTACATTTTGTAGATCATGTGACAAGTGTCAGCGATTTGGGGAGTTGGGAAAAAGACATGAGATGCCTCAACAGGCACTTCTATTTTTGAACTTGGTTCTCTTTAACCTTAAAAATCACTCCTTAACTCAACCCTACATGGTTTTTCATGTAGATTTCAAATATATGCTTAGATCTAGGAAAATAAAATGGCCTCCTTCAGTTTCCCTTTGACCGAACCACAAGGAATCATGAACCAAAAATCACAACTTTGCTTTAAAGCTTCCAACACTTGTTCCTTTTAGTCTATCCTACACCATTCCTCATTTTAAGCATCATGGAAGCCTTAAAACAATGAAAAACTCATCCTAGGGTTCAGTTCCTCACTTGGCTGAAATGGAAGCTCAAAAAAACAACCATGAAAAATGCTTTAAAACAACTTAAACTCACTTGCAAACACTAGGATCTAGCTTGTGTTGTTGTGTCTTAGCAAGTGTGATGATCAACACTTCTTTCCCCTTTTTATTAATCAGTTCGGTCAACATCAAGAGAGGGAGGAGACAGATTTTTAACCATAAAAGAGAAAGAAACCAAAGCAAGAACACTTCTAGGACCAAGATCTAACCTTGAAACCTTGCTTGGATGATCAAAGATGCTTGCTTCTTCTTGTTTTTCTCTCAAACTCTCTCTTTTTCTCTTATTTTCTCCCTTGGAAAAAAATGAGCATCTGAAAATGGGGAGAGAAGAGCTTGATTAATGCTTCAAAATATCCCAACCACCTTCTTTAATGATAGTCCAAGTGTCATTACCCTACTAAGTCTTGATTCCTCTTTCATAATTACCATAATTCCAAATGAAATTAATTACTAAAGTCAAGATCCTCTCCATTTATGGAATGACACTTGGCTAA